TTCCCACGTGAATAGAAGAGGAAAGGGGGTCTGATCCTCACTCTGTGAAAGCTCCTTTATCCATTCATGGACCCCCAGAACCACACGAGAGGAGGGGCCTCGTGCTCATTCCCACCACTCCCCATAGAAATCCCAGGCCATCTCCACCGAGAGGAACACCTCTCCAGAGAATTTAGGATGGGTGAGGAGAACAGTGTCTCTAGGATCATCTCTATGATGACAAACATCCACCCTGAAAGCCCTAAATGCTCAGAAATGTCAAAACTCTGGGTGTCTGGTGCTCTGAGGATGGAGCCTGCAGATTTCATGACCTCCTTCAGTTTCCTTTGGCCCCAGATGCAGTCGAAGTTTCTCTCTGCCCAGCCTAGATTTACTTTCCAGGCCTTAGCTCCCGGGAATGACGGGAATGTTTCAGCATGAGTGCTCCTGGCCACAAGGAGAAAAAGCCCCCAACGCATTTCACAGACATCCGCCGGGATTCTGCAAAGTCCATTCTCTCGAGAACAAAATTGCATTTTATGAAGCCGTCCCTTCCCTGTTTCATCTGTCAGGCAGGTTTGCTGAGAATAATTTAAATTTCATGCAGCTGCCACTGTGGGGCAGCGCGGCTTCCTTTCCATCCCACAAACAGGTCTGGCGCTGAGTCGGGGTTCTGCTTCTCAGCACCAGCCGCCCTCCCCCCGCGGCCTCGACGGCCTGGAGCTGAGGGCCAGGAGGGGCCAGGGACTGGTGCTGCCCCAGCTCTCAGCTTTGCCTCGGGCCAGATCTGTCAGGAAGGGGACAGTCCAGTGAGCCTCCCTGCCGCTCACCAGCGCCAACGGCCAGGGAGATTTATTTCTCCCCACAGGTATGGTCACTCGGTCCGACCAAATCTCTGATTTAACTGTTTTTGTTTTGTTCTTTTATTCTCTTTTAACTTTTTAAACTTAACTTTTATTGAGTGCGTAATAAGAGGCTTGTGCTGTTCTAAGCTTTTGCACACATATTAATTTAACCAATTCTCACACCATCTCCAAAAGGAAGATACCACTGTCATTACCATTCTGTAGACAAACTGAGACCCAAAACACTTCTAATGTTAAACACTAACATAAATGTGAGTGTACAAACATTTAAGAAAGAATAAAAACAAGTAAGGGAATTCTTTTCCAAGGGGCTTATTCCAGTTCAGGGGCCTGGGTGGCCGGAGCCTCTCCTGGCAGCTCAGGGTGAAAGATGGGACCCACCCTGGACAGGTCACCCTTCCATCGCAGGGCCACTCACACCCACACTCACTCAGACTGGGGTTATTAAGACACCCAATCCACCTCCTGCGAACATCTTTGGGATGTGGGAGGAAACCCGAGTCCCCGGAGAAAACCCATGCAAACACGGGGAGAACACATGAACTCCAGACAGATAGTAGCTCTGGCTGGGAATCGATTTTCTTCTTTTAGTCAATATTATAATGAAATGATGTTGAACAAGTTATTCAAGAACCTGCTATATGCCCCTTTTCTTGCTGAAAGGCGGTGTTTGCTGGTGGATGAGAGGAGGGGAAAAGTTGCCCTAACAGTGCTGCAATAGTGGTTACCATGGTGAACGCAACAGTCCGCCAGCCAGGCAGCCTGGGTGGGGAAGGAGCCAGACCTGGCCTGGTCTGTTTCTCACTCACCCAGGGACCTTGGCCTATTTATTCCCTCACCTACTGGGGGCCTAGCTCCTGTTTCTTATTTGAAGACTTACCTTGCCCTCTTGGTGAGGCCAGAAATGATCGATCACCTTTCCTTACCGGGGCATGGACCTGTCCTATAGGTCTCACCTGGCTGACAGTGACAACGGTGATGGCAATGACACCACCACCTGTATAGGATTTACCATGTGCCAGGCTTAGCTCTGTTCTGAGCACTTTACACATGTTTTAACTCACACAGCCCTCACCACAACCCTGGCAGGCAGGTCCTGCTACCTATCCCATTTTATAGAAGTGAGGCCCAGAGAGGTTAGGTAGCTTGTCCAGGGTCGCTCAGCTAGAAAGTGATAGAGCAGAATTCAAATCCAGGCAGTCTGGCTCCGAAGCCTATGTTTACCGACTCCACTAAGCTGCCTCTGCCAATAACCTCGATGAGAGGAACATTCTCAGGTCATTCGGTTACACTGTCCAGGCCACAGATTCGTATATCCCGGCCCATGAACTCCCCGAGGGCAAGAGCTTGCCCTTGGCTGCTCAGCAAAGACTGCTTGTTGACCAGGGAAACCACAGATATCTCAGTTTGGCTGTCTGTCAATTGATGTGGTGCTCGCATGGGGTTAGACAAATACTCTGGGGAACAGGCATCTAGGGGGCAGCAGCTGGGCCAGAATGGTTGAAAGGCCCCATGGCTCAAATTCAATAACAGAACCCGGGACAGAAGCCACAGCTGGCTGGGACCCTCCCTCCCCCCTCCACAGCCCCTTCTCCTGAGCACCCTGAAGGTTCCAGGGCAGAACCAGGAACCTTTGTTTGATGGAACAAGCCCCTGCAGGTATGAAACTGGGCTGGAGCTGGTTACAGAGGAGAAGTGTGCCAAGGAGCTGGCTGTCCTCACAGACGTGAACTTTCAGCCCCTCTCCCCTCTGGGCCACCCAGCTCAGCCCTCTCCCAGCTGTTGTTTTCCATCTGAGGCTGGGTTCCTTTCCTCCCATGTGCTGTGGTTTGCGGCCCGGCCAGGCAAGGATGGCGAATATTGAGCTGCCTGGGAGCAAAGTAGAAGCTGTATGGGCAGGGATCCCTGTGGGAAGCTCCCACTGCTGGTCTCCTCCACTTCCCTGGTCCGGCAGAGCTCAAACCCCTACCTGGAGCACAGCCCAACACTGGCCCTAAAAATGCCCCCATCCTTGAGAGGGAAGAAACCATGAAGTGGGCTCCTGGGTCCAGCTTCTCTCTCCTCACCTGGAGGCCCCAGCAGTCAGCTCCAGAATCTGCCGTTCTCCAGCTGGCCAGCAGCTGGCCTGGCTGAGTGGCTGCCAGATGTGGCTGGTGGGGCAGCGGCTGGCTCCATGGGGCAGAGGTCACCACACCGGAGCAGTCCCAGGGGCTGGCGCCCAGGGGAGGAACGTGTTTGGCTAGTCTGGGGGCATCGTGCCCAAACAATCCTCCGTCTCCTCTCCCCCATCCAACATTCCTTCCCTCCCCACCTCAGCGGGGTGGTGTTTTCATAACAGGAAAATAAAATCAATAAGGCGCTGCAGCAAGAAGTCAGTGCGCTCTGAGCTGGCCTCCAATAGCTCCATTGTCTCGGGCCTCGCCAGGCGCTGCGCCGGCGGCACTCACAGTTATTAATGAGAAGCAGGGTTGAAAGGGGGTTTTGAAAATCACCGAGACAAAGGCGCAGCACACCTGGAGTGTGGCTTTCCAGCGCCACAGGCACCTCACAATGGCTGGGGCCGGGGCGCCCCG